ATTAGGGTTTACTATTAAAATTTTTTTTAAGTTTTCTAAAATTTTATATGTTCCCGAAGCTAGAAAAAATTTTTACTTTTAAGACAAGTATTAATTTTTACAGTTAATTACCAGATTTATAATAATATATAGTTATTAGATGCAAAGCAACCAATAACTGCAGTTATTTGTCAAAAATTTTAATGAATAACATTCTTATTCATCAGAAATTTTGCAAGTACCAGGGTAAATGATCAAGTAACATATACTACACAGTGGTATATGTTGCCTAATCATTTATTTTGGTACTTGCAAAATCTCTGATGAATAAGGCAGTTATTGGTAGATTATATGCTCAGTAACGATATTATCCTTCTGGCTATGACGATCTGCATAAAACTTTTTTTTATATAAATATAAACTTTTTACTTTTTAAAACTCTTTTTAGTTAGCTATTCAATCCAAATATGCCTAAAGTTTTAAAACATAATATAAATAAAATTCATATTTTTTTAAAAATTAATTTTAAAAATTTACTAAAAAATACTTATATGTATAGTGTGCAAATTTCTTTTAAGAAAGCTACTTGTTGTTAACTGAAGAATTAGATTAAATTACTAACTTACAGGTTCCAGTAAACACTATGAAATCTATTAAAAAATGTGTTAATATACTTAAGAATTGGTATAAAAAAGTTGGATACAATTATGATATTGAAACTATAACTGACAAGTCTTAACTTGAAGAGAAGATGCAAGAATTTATAGTTGGTGTATGACAACTTAAAAATAGAAAAGAATATTTACTGTCTTCTTTAAAAAATAGATAAATCCTATTAAGTCAATAGATTTATGATGCACAAACTGGTCCTACTAAATTTAAGTTATCACACAAAGATGATTTTAAAAATTTGTAGAATATACTAGATGGCAAAATAAAACAGTTAAAATGAAATAGAATTATTCTACAATATCATAATTCATTAACTAAAGAAAAAACTTCTCTTATATTTAATCATCCAAATGTATCAGCATCACATGCTCAAGGGTTACAATATTGAGTATTTATGTATATGTGTATGCTTTGTGCACCACTGAGTGGTAAGCATGTTAAATAAAAATTTCACAATTTAAATTTCTTCCTAATAGTGGAATTATTTTTACAAAATGGTCCAAAAAAATAATCAAGGGGAATTAGATGATAATAGTAATGCAACCAGTATTCCAATTCCACTAGATCCTCTTGAAAAACCTGAACCTGTTTATAATATTTGACTTTATTTTTCTAAATGACTCAATAATTGTATTACATCAAATTTGCATCTTCAATTGGCAAAAAATTTGATTGGTAATTACAAGAATACTATCAAGTAAAAACCTGTTTATAGATTTAAGTTTAGTAACAAGTTTTTCTTAAATATATTTATATTAATACTAATATATTATTAATTTAGAAGATATCTGATATAAAGATAAAAAACTTAGTGATTATTTGATAAATACTATATTAAGAAAGATTTGTGAATCTTGTGGAATTAAAATTGAAGATCAAAATATAGCCAACTATTCAGGCTATACTACTTCATTTATATATTTATATCAACTTGAAATATCTAATTCAACTTTAATATTAATCACTGGACATAAGAGTGAAAGCTCTGTTAGAATTTATTCATACCCTTCTGAACAACAAAAAAAGATTGTTTATTCGCAATAATTAATTCAAGCATTAGCAATATTAAGATAACTTATTTTAAACTCTGATAATTTTAATTATTATTTTATATAATTTATTATAATATTTAAATACTTATATTTAGAATAATTCAAATATACAAACAATTGAGTCGAATAATCAAGATAACAAAGATCAAACAATTGAACTGAATAATCAAGATAATAAAGATCTGGTAATACTTTTTTTTTTGCTATATAAATACAACTAAATACATATTTTTAGAATAAGCAAAATATACTAATTATTGAACAAAGTGATCAAGATGCTACAAATTTAGTAATACAAATATATAATTTTTTTTAATCTGTATAAGTCAAAAATTTTAATTTTTCTTATTTTTTTTTAGATTAATCATGATTTTCAAACCCATACACCATTATCAAATATTCAAATTAACTCTATTTCTTCAACTAATTCTAGTATTTATAGTTCTGAAAACCCTCATCCTAATATATTCAAAAAAAATCTGATACTTGAAAGCTGTTAACTCTTAAAACAGAAAAGAAAAAATCGCAAATTATTAATAATTATTACATTACAGCTGATACTATAATTCTTAAATAAATTAATATATATCATATATATATATAATATAATTAGTATTATATATATAAATTGTTTTAATAAAGTTTAAATTCTGATATATATTATTTGAATTTTTAAATAAAAAATAATTATATTATTGACTAATACAGATCTTAATAGCCTGAAGGATAATTAAAGTTATAATCTATTATTTAAACTATAAAGTTGTATTAGAAACTATAGATTTAAAATTAATATTTAAAAAGTTTGTTATAGATAAACTAAATATTTTTTTTAAAAAATTATTTTTAAAATTGTATATTTTTGGTTTATAAGTAACCTAAATTTTTTTCTTATAATCTAAAACTAAATACTATAAAAAAGTAATTTATATTTCAAATATTATTATACCAAATTTCATTTGAATATTCTAAATTGTTAAAAAAATAGATAAATAGCATATTTATAGTACCAATATAGACAAATTTGTCTGCACCTACAATTTAAGGGATAAACTATTAGAGTCAGTGTTAAGGTTAGAATTTAATTAGCTCAAATTAGTTAGATTTATATATTATAATCTTGTAATAATTTATATATACCTATCTATACTAAAGGAGATTCTTTAGAATATATATATATATTGTATATATTAGTAAAAATTATAAATAAGAAATTAGGTCTTAAATTTTTTTTTTCGATATTAAGATGACTCTTGGGTCAGTACTTTTATTTATATTTAACAAATTATTTTACAGTATCAGTTTTGCATTAAGTATTTATATATTTTTATATACATAATCTCAAACTAATATTTGTTATAATTTTAGAACAATTTTATTTTTAGGATTTTTCCTACTGTTTATAGCTAACCTAGTATTTAATGCTCTTTATAAGGTTTATATAGCCACTATGACAAACTTCTGTCTATAAATTATACTAGACTTCTGCTACCTCCTTATTCATGTCTTGCCAAGTGAGTTTTTATCTTTATTAGTTCTATAGATTTATACAGATATAGAAACTTATCATAAGTTTGTATTGCTTATACTAGCTTGTATTTCTTTGTATAACTCTTCTACTGTATTATACAAATACCATGTAATCTTTTAAATTTTGACTTAGTTTCTAGTAAATTTTCTAAAATAAGCTATTCTAAGATCTGATACAAACCTAATTTTGAGTAGTGATTATTCTAACTACTATTTAGTCTAACTATAGTTATAGAATTAAATATCTTAATCTTTATAAGACAGTTATCATAACACAAATAGAAATTCAAATTATCATCACCAGTAAGATTTGAACTGTTGACTTGCCACTTGGAGGATGACAACTTAACCACTTTACTAAGTTGCCACACCTCTTAGGTCTTAAATTAAATATAGTTTAAATATAGAAACAAATAAAAAATTTTTTGTAAACAACAGATAATATATAGTAAGCAACAACAATTAATAATTAATTAGACAATTAAATTTCTAAATATATATATATCTGTCTTTTAATTGTATCTAAATTTTTAGTTAAAGTTAAGTTAAATATAAATTTAATTCAAGTTTTGTTCAATTTTATATCGATATTACTTCTAAAATTTGTAATTTTAAAAATATAACATTTTATTAACAAAAATCTTTATAAAAACTATTTTTAACTTCAAAAGAATATTTATATTTACTATACAAAAATAATTAAAAATAATCAGTAGTATCAAGAACTTATAAGTAAATATTTTTATAATTTATTACTACAATTGAATCTTTCTAAATATAATTTTCATAAATACAATACTGTTATAGAACAGTTTATTATTTTATTAGTTTATTATTCCGATATTGTTTTTATTATTTATTTTATTATTATCATTTAGTCTTATTTAGTTATCATTATTAGAGTAGAATTTAGCAGACAAGTAGTACGCTTAACGCTTAACGATTAGCGATTATGCTTAACGCTTAACGAT